CATAACTTTTCCCTTCTCTGGTGGGGGGGCGGAGATTGTTGGGGGGCGGGGGGTGCATTTCTCGATTGACTTTTACCCAGAAAGCACATGGGCAAAACCCATGAGTGAAACGGTCACTGGGACTGACTAGTATATATTCCAATGAGGGAAAGTAACTTTAACATATTAATTTCTCATATATTAACATAAAGGCTCGTTTTGAAGTATAAGCTGCTACTTACTTACAGACATTGCTTCGAAGAATTCAACCTGGAATGCGGCGTTCATAACAGACACGTGCTACACATCTGCTCTACTGCTAGCAAACAACCGAACTGATTAAATAACATAAAAGTCAAGCAGTTCCCTAAAAGTCCAACAGATGGCAGCAATGCACCCCACAGTCTACAGGACACACTTCCTGCTAAAGAGCCCCCTGGTGGTTGACGAAAATGAAAAAAAATCTAAATGCTCTCTGGTATTGTTCAGGGGGCCGGACCAAATGTGGAGGCGGGCCGGATCCGGCCCACGGGCCGTAGTTTGGGGACCCCTGCTTTAGGTGAACTGAAATATATACTTTATATATATATATACTGGAGTGGATCTAAATGGATCTGAGTGGATCTGCGTGTTTCGGACTCACTCTCCTCCTCCTCCTCCTCCAGGTCGCTGTCGCTGTCGGCGCGCGCCAGCCCGTGTTTCTGCAGGTGCTTCTTGATGCTCATCCTCGTCCTCCTCATCCTCCCCTGACTCTTCAGCTTGGGCTGATCTCCAGAGTCCATCACCGAGAAAACCTTGTTCTGGCCGCCGCCACCGGAGGGCGCCGCTGAGCTGGAGGCCGCGGCTGCAGCCTGAAACCCGCAGAAGAAGAAAGTTTAAACAGATTTAAAAACGCAACGTATGCAGGGACGTAACAGGACAACATTCAGGTAATATGAAGGTAATAATGACATTATTAAAGTTCAATAAACTTTAATTTCTAACATTTAACACTGGAAGTGGAAGACGTTTTAAATATCCAAATTATCTATGACTGATGGATGATTTCTCCTGACCTGCTCCAGGTGCGACAGCGTCACGCTGCCGATGTCGGTGAGCCGATGCTCGCGGTCGTCCCAGCGGCCGTACGCCAGGTCGATGCCGCCCACGAACGCCACCGACTGGTCGATCACCACGATCTTCTCGTGATGCGCCCACAGGTAGACGGCGGAGGAGACGTGGTCGGGGTGCCGCATCACCTGGGGACAGACGCAGCATCAGACAGGAAGCGGCGGCGCGGCGGTGACCTCGGCAGGAAGTGGTCGGACCTTGATGTTGGGGTGGAGGCGCAGCAGCGTCCGCTTGCTGTAGCCGGAGTTGATTCCCAGAGCCAGCTCCACCTCCTTGTAGAGCATCACGAAGATCCGAACGCCTTGTTGCTGCAACGGTTCAAACTGTGTCAAACTGGAGGCCCGGGGCCACATGCGGCCCGCCACGGCGCCTTCAGAGGGACGCATGTCACAACCTCCCAGATCAAACATTATTTTACCAAATCAAGTTGCATCAATCAGGTCCTCCAGTTTTTTGCAGAAATTCATTCAAAATCGACAAACTGAGATTCTGAGTGGAATATAATCCTGAAAACAATCATGAACTCCTGGAGGAACTGATCAGTTTTAAGTTAACTTATCGAATGCAGAGCAGCTGTTTGTTAATATTTTATCAGGTTTTATCGATACATTCTGGAACAACTGAAGCTGCTCCGCTGCTCTGAGCGCCGGCCGGTTTGCTTCCCGTTTCCGGGTCCAGATGATCGGTTTGGACTGAAAGAGTTTGTCGCTCACCGCTTTGCGCTTCAGGATGCAGTCGAGACGCCATCGGTTCCCCTCGACGACCGGCCGCTTCAGGAAGATCTCTGGACTCAACCTGCAGCACGAAGCAGGAGGCTGAATGCAGTTCTTCACGTTTTCAGACTTTCTGCTCTTTCTGATTCTACACATCATTCTAATGATAGTTATTATACTAAATGAAAAAACTACAAACCAAAGATAGAAGCAATAATACATAAAAGATAAAAAATGAAAGAAATATCAATAAAAAAAATCTAAAGAAATCATTAGAAAACAAAATAAAAATATTTAACCAAAGCAGAAAATTTGATGAGGTAAATTCAGCAGCTGCGGCGTTTTTCTCTCCGTTAACGATAATCTGAACTCGGACCCGGCCGGGCAGAACCCTGAACCCGATCCGTCTGGAAACCTCCTGAACTCACTCAACTCTGACAGCAACGCAGCTCAGCAGGAGGAAGACCTGCTGACCAGAGTCTTCCTCACCAGTCAGTGATGAAGACTCACCACCAGTCAGTGATGAAGATCTCCTCCTTGGCCTCCTCCAGAGCGTCCGCCACGTCCTCCATGTAGGTTTTTCCGTTCACATACCTGCAGGAGACGAAGCAAACCTTCAGATGATGATGTCACTGCTTTGTCAGCTTCTGATTGGCTCATTCAGAATAGATGAGGAACCCCAGTGGGCGAGTTTTAAGGTGGAGAGAGAGTCATTACGCCCAGATAAATCAGGCCTGTTGGGCTGAAAGGCCAATCAGGAAGGAAGAAGCCATTAATCCGACGAAGCTACACTGAAAAAAATCAAAACCAGGAATTTGTGTTTTAGGGACATTGTAGATATAAATAAATAAATACGAGGAGTAATTTTCCACCAGAGAAACTGTAAAAAATAGACTTCTAGAAA